CTTGAATAGGAATCAAATAAACACAAAGAAAGTATTTTATAATTACTTTATTATGAAATATTAAGTAAACAAAATAGTGAAAAATTATAAAATTCTTGTCTTGTCTGCACCTACGGCACACCAGGCAACATCTCGCGGCACGTTGAAAAACGCTGCTGTAGACTGTGTAAAAATCATACAAAAGAAGAGATAAGAAAAACATGAGAGGACGTGGCTCAGAAGCCTTCACAGAGCCTCTCCCAATAGCCACATCATCCAGAATGCAAGATAAGCACTCACAGAGGACTCTAACAAGAGACTCTGTGGCCAGATTAATCCCCTTAACTCACCTCTATAAATATGTGAGCCTTTGTAATCTGGCTCAACCCTCCACCCACCCCATTCCCATTCAAGTCCAGTAAGAAGCCCAGATCTATGGTCACTGAACTAGGAAAGGTGTTCGTGCAGTGTGTGAAGGCATGCACTGGCACCAGAATGCCTGAATCCAAACCTTAACTAAGTTTGGACCTTCACTGGGTGACCTTAACTAAGAGGTCTTACTGGGTGAAGAGGAAATCAGGGAGCTAAAACTTTCAGTGATGAGAAAGATGATTAGAACATGGTATGAACTTCGCATTGGTGTAACCATATAGAGAAAGGAGTCATTCAAATGACTCTAGACCTAAACAACACTTTTAATGAATATGATTTTAGAGAGAAAGGAAGGGAGAGAGAGATAGAAATATCGGTGAGAGAAAAACATTAATTGGCCGCCTCTGCAGGACCCGTACCTGGATCCAGCCTCATACCCAAGCTTGTGCCTTGACTGGGGATAGAAGCTGTGACCTCTCTGTGCGTGGGACAATGCTCAACCAACTGAGCCGTGCCGGCAGGGCTGATGAATTTCTTTCATGGGTTATATTCCAAGGAGAATTAGAACCACAAAGAAATCTTAGTAAATTTCACTGATTAGTTTTATGGTTAGTTGTAATTTTGGCATTATTAAAGCTATTTTTAGCAACAGACAAATGGGAGAATGAGAATCATTTAATGTTAAATTTGAGTCAAAAACATCAGTTTAAATCTCTGACTGTTTTTCTTTTCAAAAAATTAGCACTCTGCCCTCTGAAGCACTATTGTCATTCTGCTGCATCCACTCAGCAAAGCAACAACCCTGGTTCAGCTTCATTCCCCACCATCACTACTCCAATTCTCCGCTATAGAACACTCTATAAACGTATGTCTGGGTGCCAAAGTACCATAAAATCTTTTTGGAGAATTTTATAGGTTGGTATATATTATCTATTTTTAAAAAAATACATTTTATTGATTTATTACAGAGAGGGAGAGGGAGAGAGAGTTAGAAACATCGATGAGAGAGAAACATCGATCAGCTGCCTCCTGCACACCCCCTCCTGGGGATGTCCCCGCAACCAAGCTACATGCCCTTCACCACAATCAAACTTGGGACCCTTGAGTCCAAAAGCCAATGATGCTCTATCTACTGAGCCAAACTGGTCATGGCTATCTTCTATTTTAATCCCTCTTTTATGTAATGTGCTTTCCTGTATTGCAGAAATGGAAACGCTAAAACAAAGAGACACAAAGCAAACTGTATTTGCAGACTCCTCTGCAGTTATATTTGGAAGATGCAAATAAGGCAGGGGCCCTTTTCCCTGCTTTGGCTGTTGTTGCCAGGCATATTTTTGGGGACATTTTCCTGTAATAGCATCCCAATGTGCATTCGCTAGTTTTATGGGATATGGTAGCCAGCTCCCAAGAAAGCACCTAATGATTCTTGTCTCCTAGTATTCATATTCTGGTGTAGTCCCTTCCACAGTGAACAAGGTCTGACTCCTGTGACCAAGAGAGTCTACAGAAGTGATCATACATGATTTCTGAGGCTAGGTCATAAAAGACATTGCTGCGGCTTCCTTGGTCTCTGGGTAAAGCCAGCCCCCATGTAGTGTAGATGCTCATACAGCTTGGGAAGAGGCCCACATGGATGGGGAACTGAGGTGCCCTCCTCTCCACCAACCTGCCAGCCACCTTGGAAGTGGAACTCCTAGCCTGAGTCAAGCCTTCAGATGACTGAAGCCCTGGGCAAAATGTGAATGGATTCCATGAGAGTTATGGAGCCAGACTGCATAGCTAAGACAATTACAAATTCTGACCAACAGAAATCCTGGGAGATAATGAATGTATATTGTTGTTTTAAGTCACATGATCAGCAAAAATTTGTGGGTTTTTTTTTTTTTTTTTTTTTAAGGTTTTGGGTAACTTGTTAGGCAGCAACATAATATATGGAACTGGGAGTTTTGGCAGCAGCATTGCTCTGGAAGCCAGCATTTCAGCTTTCTACTTACTCCTTTCCCAACCAGGGCAGAGGTAGCAGATCCTTATCAGGCCTGTTCGGCCACATTGCGCTGAGTGGATTTTTCTTTCTTTTGAAAATATATTTTATTGATTTTTTACAGAGAGGAAGAGAGAGGGTTAGAGAGTCAGAAACATCCATGAGAGAGAATCATCGATCAGCTGCCTCCTGCACACCCCCACCAAAGATATGCCGGCAACCAAGGCACATGCCCTTGACCAGAATCGAACCTGGGACCTTTTAGTCTGCAGGCTGACGCTCTATCCATTGAGCCAAAAACGTTTTCGGCCTGAGTGGCATTCTTGATTACCCAGCCTAATGCCCACTCCTCCTGCCCTTTCAATGACTTTGCAGGCATGCATTCTCTGTATTATACCTTTTTCTGCTTAAAATAGCTGGATTGGTATCTGTGTCCTGTAACTGAGCTTAATCTAATAAGAATACCCATCTCAAATCAATAGCTAGACAGTAGAAGCATTCCTGTTAAAGTAAAAGTATTCTAGGAAGTTGGCTATCAACAGTAAGTAATCGCTATTTCATTATTATATTGTGGAGGAGGCAAACTGTCCTTATGTACTAGTATAATAAGGAGACATAATTGTCTACCAGGAAAATTTGAATGAATCAGATGAAAATAAAAACTATTGCTCAGCCAGCATAGCTCAGTGGTTGAGCATTAATCTATGAACCAGGAGTTCACAGTTCAATTCCTGGTCAGGCCACATGACTAAGTTGCAGGCTAGATCCCCAATGGGGGGCATGGAGGAGGCAGCCAATCAATGATTTGCTGTCATCATTGATGTTTCTATTTCTCACTCCCTCTCCCATCCACTCTGAAATAACTAAAAACATATTAAAAGAAAAACTATTAAAGTTCAGGGGGCTTAAAAATTTAGCAAAAAGATCAGTAGCTTTCCTATGTAGCAATAATCACCATTTATAAAATACAAAGAAAAAAACAATCTAGTCCAGTAGCAAAAAAGTGCATTAAGTAACTGGAAGAAATAAATGAATTTAATGCAATTTCCATAAAATTCCAGTTTTTGAACTTGGAAAATTTATGAATTTCTGGAAAAATAAATATCCATGTATTGATAGAAAATCCTGAGAAAGTGAGATTAACAAAAGACTTGTCCTATGAGATATTAAATCTATACTAATAAAAAGGTAATATGCAAATTGGTCAGGATGCCCTCACAGTAACAACCGAACAGCAGGCTGCATGGGGTGACCAGGAAAATCAATCAATCTCTCTCTCTCTCTCTCTCTCTCTCTCTCTCTCTCTCTCTCTCTCTCTCTCTCCTTCTCTCCCCTTCTCGCCCTTTCCACTCTCCATGTCTCTGCTATTTGGACACTAACCTTTCCCTCTTTAAGAACTCCTTATCATCCTCTATTTCACCAATGTTTTCAAATAAGTGGCCTTGTTTTTTTAAAAAAAAAATAAATTGTTTTATTATTTATTTGGGAACTGCTTCCAATCTCAAATACCTTGTAGGATTAAAGGAACACAGATAAATAACACTATGAGGAAACAATTCAGAATGTGGTGCATTTTCAAAACAACTGACCTTGTCTTTTCAAAAAAACAGTATTAAGAAAAAACTAAAAAATGAAAGAGAAATGGGGGGTGGGGACCCCACAAAGATGTAGCAACCAAATGCAGTAAGTGACTTGTTTGAATTCGGACTCAAAAGAAAATATTTGCTACAAAAGATTATTCTGAGGAAATTTGAATAGGGCCTGGGTAGCAGATAGTATTAACAAATGATTGTTAATTTTCCTAAGACCTGATAGTGGTACTATGATTATAAAAGATAATGTTTTTATTTTTTTTTTAGAGATGCATACTGAAATATGTTGGAGTGGTGAGATTTTTGAGTCAGCTAAAATAATTATTATTTACAAACACTTATATGCAGGTAAAGCACATATGTCAATACGTTAATTGTTTAGCCTGGATATTGGACTGAATTAGAGTGAATACTGTACTATATTCTATATGTTCAGAAGTTTTTATAAGAAAAAGTTGGAAAATTTTAGTTACATATGAATGCCTTACTTATTTACCTTTTTTCCTCTTAGTACTCTATAAGTGTTGGAGTGAAAAGATCTTGAATTATAACGGAAGGGGAAAGGCAAAATGTCAAGAAGGACCTGGCCACCAGTCTTGAACTTAAAAGCAGTCCAGAAGAACTTTAAATTTATGCAAAAGTTGGTACCCTCCGGTGTGGCTGTGACTGAGCGCATAGCTTGGAACCAAGAGGTCATGGTTAGATTCCCAGTCAGGGCACAGGCTCAGGTTGCTTGAGTTGCAGGCTCAATCCCCAGCGCAGGGCGTGCATGAGGCAGTAAATCAAGGATTCTCTCTCCTCATTGATGTTTCTCTCTGTCTCCCCTTCCTCTCTAAAATCAATAAAAAATATATATTTTTAAAAAGTTGTTTCCTAGAAGATCAATTCTGAGACAGAGTGGTTTCACTGGAAGTGGAAGCCAGAATACAGAAAGGCATTTTGTTTTTTGTGTGTTGATTTTCTTTGCCGCCGTTAACATGACATCACTGGCAATCAGGAATGACTCCCACGCCACGCCTCCCTGAACTCTCGCGATACTAGAGCCCGGAGCGCGAAACGCCGTGGGCGGGGCTGGGGCGCGATCGCTGCCTTCCGGCGGGGCCGTTGTCCGGGTGGCGCGGGCGAGTCATCGCGGGGCCTCGCCGCCCGGGCCTTTCTTCCCTCCCCCTCCCCCCCGCCTGGGCGTGGGGGCTCGGCCGGCCAAGTGGGGCGGGAGGCGCCTCGGACCTTCCCCTGCATTTCGTCGTGGTCTGCTCGCCGCTTCCCCGCGCTGGGGCCGGGGGTCCTGGGGGCCCGCGAGGCCCGGTCTGAGCGGCCGGGGCCTGCGTGGGCCGGCCGCCGGGCCCCATGAGGCACAGCCTGACCCAACTGCTGGCCGCCTCGGGCACCGACTCCCCGGCCCGCAGCGACAGCCCGACGCCGGCCGCCGCCCGCCCGCTGCCCCCGGCCCGGACCCAGGCGGCGGCGGCGGAGGAAAAAGAGCCGGCGGTCTCCAGGTCTCCACGCCGCGAGCAGCCGCGCGGCGGCCTAGAGGCCGAGCTGGCGGACGGCAGGGGGGGCCGCGGCGGCGGCAGCGGCGGCCGCGGGGCGGGGCGCGCGCCCTCGCCGGAGGAGATGGAGGAGGAGGCGGCGGCGATGGCCGGCGTCCCCGGGGAGGAGACGGAGGACATGGACTTCCTGTCCGGGCTGGAACTGGCCGATCTGCTGGACCCCCGGCAAGCGGACTGGCACCTGGAGCCGGGGCTCAGCTCGCCGGGGCCCCTGTCGTCCGGCGGAGGCTCGGAGAGCGGCGGCCTGTGGCGAGGGGACGACGACGACGAGTCCGCGGCCGCCGAGATGCAGCGCTTCTCCGACCTGCTGCAGAGGCTGCTGAACGGCATCGGCGGCGGCGGCGGCGGCGGCAGTGACAGTGGCGGCGGCGAAAAGAGGCGGAGAAAGGCCCCCGGAGGCGGCGGCGGCGGCAGCGGCGGTAGCAGCGGTAGTAGCGGCAGCGACAGCAACCCGGCGGCGGCGGCGGCGTCCAAGAGCCCCCGGAAGGCGGCGGCGGCCGCCGCGCGGCTGAACCGGCTCAAGAAGAAGGAGTACGTGATGGGGCTGGAGAGCCGGGTGCGGGGCCTGGCCGCCGAGAACCAGGAGCTGCGGGCCGAGAACCGGGAGCTGGGCCAGCGCGTGCAGGCGCTGCAGGAGGAGAGTCGCTACCTGCGGGCCGTGCTGGCCAACGAGACGGGCCTGGCTCGCCTGCTGAGCCGGCTGAGCGGCGTGGGACTGCGGCTGACCACCTCGCTCTTCAGGGACTCGCCCGCCGGGGACCACGACTACGCGCTGCCGGTGGGGAAGCAGCAGCAGCAGCAGCAGCAGCAGCAGGACCCGCTGGAGGAGGACGACGCGGCGGGAGGAGTGTGTCTCCATGTGGACAAGGATAAGGTGTCGGTGGAGTTCTGCTCGGCGTGCGCCCGGAAGGCGTCGTCTTCTCTGAAAATGTAGGGTCAAGTAATCTGCCCTTTATCCGCGTTTTCCCCTTTCAACTCCCTTACACCATGTAAAAAAAAAAAAAAAAAAAAACCTTAGTGTGGGACATCGTCACTGGACACATGTCAGGTGGAAAAGAAAAAAAGTAATATTGAATCTTTTAAGTGTTTAGCTAAAAGCATGAATGTGACACTGTAGCCAACTCCCAATGATAACATGTGACTATTAAATCTCTCTGACAGTTTCTTTTTTAGGTGATTTACTTCCTGCCAGGCTCCGTTGTAGGGGTTTCAGGACAGTGGTTCCCGCCTCACCACCTGGTAAGGTTCCATCTCTTCACGTAACGCTCATGCTCTGCTGCTTAGTCTACTTTAATGGGCAACATCTCAATTTTGTGTGTGTGTGTTTGATTTTTTTTTTTCCTGATTTTTTTTTTTTATTTTTTTTTATTTTTTTTTATTTTTTTTTTTAAGAAGGCGGGAGGGGAATTGAATTTGGGCCCTGTCCACCCTGGAAACAGACTTGTGCTGGTCAATAATGTATTTAAGATGCTTCTTATGGTTGAAATAGCTGTTACTGTGTCCCCTTGTTCAGACTTGCGTGTACGTACCTAGCTCTTCTGTCCCCAGTGTGGACAAGGCCTTGGATGACATCGATTCCAACTGTACACTGAAAGCTGCTAATAGAGATACAGTTTGGAGACAGTGAAACAGGTGAAGTTGGATGGAAGTTCCGAGTTGTACAAGGTGCAAATTGGAATTCCAGAATTAGAGCAACTTTTCAGAGGTTGACAATTAAGTGTTCGGGGCATGCACCAAGGTGATAGTTATTTTGCTGGAGGTGACAACAAAATAACTCTTAAATATTCAGTAATGCCTTTTAGTTTTAAGTAGATCTAGAACTACAATATTCAGATTAACAGATTTTTAATATCTCACTATTAGAGAAGTTGAAAATTAACATGCATATCAGACTCCTGTGTTAGTTAATTGAAGGAGGACTAAGAATGGTTAAATCAAATGCTTCTTTGAGGACCAGCACAGTGATGACCCTATCACTGAGTATGAATTAATTGTTGGACACCTTTATTTTTGTTGTATTAAACTTTTAGGTTAAATTTATGTATGATTCGATTTTGAAGGTTGTGAAATGTGAATGAAAACATGTAAAGTGAGGCTTCACAAAGAATCTTATTTTCCATATTTCAAAGATATTTATTTTTAAAATTGAGTAGTGCTGACTACTTAATGAAACGATTGACACTTTCCAAAGATGAAATAGATTCTTCCCTTGAAGTTCTCTATTGTCCAATTGTGTAAATTGAGTTATGGTGGCCGTCAGTGTAACAGGCATTAAGAAATTCTTTGTAAAAAAAAAAAAAAAATTCTTTGTGAAACATCACTGTTTGATAAAGTATATACCTATTTAGCATCCTTGTTTTTCTTTGTGCTAAAGTGGATACAGCTGTTGGGGCAGAAGAGACGGGACCAGCTGCTGGCCACATTTCCTGCTTTATTTTAAAAGGTAGTATAAGAAATGAGGAAAAAGAGGTAATATCAGGGCTTCTGCTGTCTTTTCTTTTAAAATGTTCATGATTAAAAAGTTTTTCCAGCAGTCCAAAGATGTAAGTTATCTTACACACAAAATGTTTTATTTTGTTATTTGGTTATGAAAATGGAATCCTTGTTCTTGCACAACTGTAAATGTTTTGTTTCTAGATAATATTAGTTGAGACTTAACTCTGGTTTCCAGTGCATCACAGCAATTTTGTAAAACCATCTACTGCACTTGAGCATGAATGGGTAGTAGCCAAACTCTCAGCCTGGAGTTATGAAACTGCTTATACCTAAGTGCAGAAGCAAGCCCCTCACGATGCAGCTGCATGGATTTTTAGTGCCTACTGAATTATACATATACATATATATATATATATATAAACCAAAAGTAATTGAAAAATTATTTAAAATGACTAATTTGTGCTATCATTATGAAATATGTTAAATGTAGATTTTTGAAACAAGTCTTGAATTGAAATTTAATTAATACTTGAACATTTTGTATATATTTCTTTGTATATAATTTTGTGCAGTACTAACGACAAAAATATGGTGTCATAATAAAACCAGGTTTGTTGATCTTTCAGTTATGGGCTCAAAGAATTTTTTCATCTCTAATATGACATTGAAAAATAATGGATAAGAATAGGAAAAATGCTTGTTAATGCTGATTGTGGGTCTTAAAGGTTCTGGAAGCAGTAAGTGCGTTTTTCTAAAAATTATACCATTCCTTAGGATATTTTCTTCCCAACATCAGTGCTTTTCCTGGATTATTTGAAGTTGGGACGGGGAAAATAGTAGTCAAAAGCTTTCTGAATAGGGATGTTTTGAAATTCCAAGTGTAGATTTTTAGAATGTCATTTTATAAATGGCAATATTTGAAAATACTTGATTAAGAACTTTTGAAAGTGGAGATTAGTATCACCTAATTTTAAAGCTGCTTTGTTAGGTTTACTTATGTTTTAACTGTCTTTTCTTAGTTTCCATTTCATTTTTTTTTTTCTCTAATTTTGGTGACTCGGTGATTTTTGTCATTTTTTTACATCAACTTCATAGTCTTGTTTTACATGGTATTGCATGTATTTAAGACCTATCTAACAGGGGCTTTAAATAAATTTGGTCATATTTATGTATAAACACATTTTACTGTAAATGCCTTGAGTTTCTGAATTTACAATAGATCTGTTTATTTCAGTATGTAGTAAACAGTATCTTAAAAGTGTCCTATTCACTACTTGTTAATTAAAAAAGTTATGATAAATATGAAACTGTTGTCTTACTATTTTTAGAAAATTGTGTTCTGGTGAATAATAGTTGTATAAAGAAGATTTCTGGAATATATGGATTGTTTTGAAATTTTCTGGTTTGGTTCTATTTAAAGGATGAAAATAGTATTTAGGCAATCTTTTTTTCCCTTCGAATTTTGCCTCTATGGCAAAATTATATAGAACTAGACTACAGATGTTGCTTTTTAATATTTGTCTTCTGATGGTGATAGGAATTCATACATTAACTGAACTAACATATCATATTGACCTTCTATTTCTATCATTGGCCACAATTTCTGCACTTCCTTGACCTGACTTGAGTAAAATGTCCGTGATTGTTAAAATGTAGTCACACCTCTGATATAAGTCGACAAAAAGTCTTCAAAATATTTTAAATATTTGTACATTTTATAATCACTAAATTAATCTCTCTCTCTTCTCTTTGAACAGCTTAGCAGTGTCTGCAAAAGCGAATCTTTTCCTACAACCTGTTAACTGACTGGACTGATGGTAACAAAGTAGTTGTGGGAGCCATGTCTGTCAAAAATTTGGCATCTGCTGAAAAAAATGAATGCCATTTTCAAGTTCCCAAATTACTTCTATAGTGGTTTCACTTTCCAGAAATGGAGATTTGAAAAGATTCTCTGGAATCCTTGAAAGACTTAATAGAAATACATGAGACTAAGTTAATTTTGGAACAAAATTATACTTTTTTTTTTGGTCTTTCAAAGGAGTGATACTCAGTTCTTCGCATACCTTTTTAAAAATTGTAACCATTGGAGAAGAGAATTATAATATTTCATCAAGGAGTACTAGATTCTTTACATAATCAAGAACACATTCTATGGAATTATGTTTAGTGGAATAGAATTGATAAACAAGCCATCAGAGATCACAGGCATATCATGAGTTTGTATTTCTTGGAACATGAAAGATAATCTGAAGTTCAGACAGATCTTGCCAATAGAATATGAAAGTTAATGTAAAGTCCTTAACTATAAAGAGTAATCTTTTTAAATAGAAGCGTTGTCTGTATATCTTTGAAAAAGTTGTCTTATGATAAAATGTGTGGTTAGTTAATTGCAATTCAGGGTAATATCAGGATATGTGGATTCTGAGGTTTTGGCTTCTTGCGCTTTCTCTGAGTACTTGACAATTTTTTTTTTTTAATATTTTGAGTTTTCTAATGAATGGTATACTCGTTTCTACTATTTCATAGAAGTTAAAATTTCTCTAGTGTTATGTAAGGGCTTTAGTATTCTGGATGATGGGAGTGGCTTTTTTTTGTGGAATATAGGGCTGTTTTGTTTAATCAAAATCTCCAGTTTATTGCAGTGTGAAAAAACACTCAGAACTCTGGATTGTTTTATTTCATTTTTGTTGGATTGTGTTAATACATTCTTTTACCTGGATTAGACCTAACAATGCTATGTTATCTTACATTTGAGAAGTATACAAGTGATAGATGTGGGAAATGGTATAGACAGTGGCCAGCAAACTGCGGCTCACGAGCCACATGTGGCTCTTTGGCCCCTTGAGTGTGGCTCTTCCACAAAATACCACGTGCGAGTATGCACATACATAGTGCAATTGAAACTTCATGGCCCATGTGCAGAAGTCGGTTCTTGGCCAGGCGAGTCCATTTTGAAGAAGTGGCATTAGAACACTCAAGGGACCAACGAGCCGCATGTGGCTCGGGAGCCACGATTTGCCGACTACTAGTGTAGGACATTAGCTCTTATTTCTTTTTTTTCCAGAATAATTTACTATAACTTCTATATAGTTTATTATATAGTATTATGCAACACCTATTCCGCTCAGTTTCTTGTATCCTAAGTGTATTCAGTGTCTGTTATGCCTGGCAGCAGACTATTCCCAGTAGCTACTAAAGTGACTGATAGGTGTTTTTACAGTACCAACGGTATAGCCAACTGTAATTCTACAGTCAATTATTAGGCACCAACTATTCTGCTTTGATGGAACATGGTGAATAATTCACTTTTAATGAGTAATTATTTTTTTAAAAGATGTGATTACCAAGTTGAGCATTTTGAAGGTTAAGTTTAAGGTCTTACTAAAGTTTTTAATCTAAACAATCTGATAATGAGGTAGTAATATATTTTCAAGTTTTTAGTTTTTTTCTCCCAGACACGTTATCAAAACAAAGTTGTGAGACCCTCTCAAATGTTTATTTTCGTATTTCACTGTGTTTTTTCTTCACTACTTGAATAGTTAACCACTTAAACCAGGAATCAAAAGGGGGAAGATTTTTCATTAGAAAGTTATAGAATGTTTTGTTTGGCCAGCACAATATATTTCACATATTTGAACTTTTAATACCTCAGTACTCTGTTCACTAGTTACTCCCTGTTGTCTTATCAGTTTGAGCTCTGATCTAGATTACAAATGGTCATTTACTCTGTATTAAAGTGAAGAATTAAACTTGGAGTTATTTTAAATTTGATTCAGAAAGTAGCTTTGCATTAGGAACATAATATAAAATTAGAGCCAAAACCGGTTTGGCTCAGTGGACAGAGGGTCGGCCTGCAGACTGAAGGGTCCTGAGTTCAATTCCGGTCAATGGCATGTACCTTGGTTGCAGGCATATCCTCAGTGGGGGATGTGCAGGAGGCAGCAGGTCGATGTTTCTCTCTCATCGATGTTTCTAACTCTATCCCTCTCCCTTCCTCTCTGTAAAAAAATCAATAAAATATATTTAAAAATAAATAAAATTAGAGAAAAACAATTTTTTTTAAAGATATAGAAAGTTGCTCATTAACTTTCCTTTCTCATTACTTTGGTTACTGGCAGTGTTTTTATTATTAGTTTTTTACTTTTCCCCAATTTGTGCAGTCAGGATTTCTTTCTCAGCTATTTCCCAGAGTTTTTTTTTAAAGAAGCCAGTACACAACAGGCTTTAATAATTTAAAAAATTTTGTTGAGCCAAAATTACTTGTTTTGATGAGAATGTTTTGCTCAATCTTTAGTTATTCTAATTTTACAGTCTAAAAGTGTTGGTATACATAGGTGCAGTCACAAATGGTGTTTTGAACATTTGTATGCTTGTGCTAATATTCCGACTTGAATTTTTTTGGTGGGCCAACTTCCTTTAGAATGTGCCTCCAAATTCTGTGTCTTTCCTATTACATACCCATTGAGGTCAATTTCCGAGACCTCCCTCTCTGGATTTCAGTGTACTTATAGTACACTAAATTTATATTACAAATTTATATTAATTTAAGTACTTATAATATACGAATACTTTCTTTTTAGAGCCAAATAATTACAAATTGTAAAAAACTATTTAGTTTGCTGTCACTGAACTATTAAAAATGATTATTCTGACTGAGGCAGTATTCTTTAGATCTTGGCTACAAATGACTTTCCTTAAATTATAATGCAAATTCAGTTTTCATGTTCCCAGATCAAAAATTTTGATAAGGTAGATTTATAGCAAGATTTGAAATAACATGCTCGTTGGCCTATACTGCCCATTTTATTACACTGAGTGGCCAGATTATTATTATCCCTGAATGCATAATCTGGCCACTCAGTGTATATCCTATATAATAAAAGGCTAATATGCAAATTATCTCTGACCAGGAGTTGAGCCAGCAGGCAGGCTGGTCAACCGCCCATATCCCCTCCCCCTGGCCAGGCTGGCTGGACGCCACCCATGCACGAATTCATGCACCAGGCGTGTGTGTGTGTGTGTGTACATATCTACCTACATACACTTACATATATTAGAAGCCTGGTGCACGAAATTTGTGCATGGGGCGGGAGGGGGTGTCCCTCAGTCCAGCCTCCACACTCTCCAATCTGGGACCCCTCGAGGGATATCCAACTACCCATTTAGACCCAATCACGGTGGGATTGGGCCTAAACAGGCTGTCGGACATCCCTCTCACAATCCAGGACTGCTGGCTCCCAACTGTTCGCCTGCCTGTCTTCCTGATTGCCCCTTACCGCTTCTGCCTGCCAGCCTGATCACCCCCTAACCACTCCCATGCCAGCCTGATTTATGTCTAACTGGTCCTCTGCCAGCCTGTTTGCCCCCAACTTCCCTCCTCTGCCAGCCTGGTCACCCCTCACTGCCCTCCCCTGCAGGGTTGATTGCCTCCAACTGCTCTTCCTTGCAGGCTTGGTCCCTCTCTACTGCCCTCACAGGCCTGGTGCCTCCCAACTGCCCTCCCCTGCTGGCCATCTTGTGTCCACATGGGGGCAGCTATTGTGTGTTGGGAGTGATGGTCAATCTGCATATTACTCTTATTAGATAGGATAGAGGCCTGGTGCACAGGTGGGACCAGTTGGTTTGCCCTGAAGGATGTCCTGTATCAGGGTGGTGGTTCTCTTGGGGTGTGGGGCGGCCTGAGCTAGGGGCCTGTGGTGGTTTACAGGCCCGCCATGCCCCCTGGTGACCCAAGCGGAGGCTCTGGTATCTGGAATTTATTTACCTTATATAATTGAAACTTTGTAGCCTGGAGCAGAGCCAAGCCTCCTGCTTGATCTGCCCACAGCCATTTCTGTTTGGAATTGTTTACCTTCTATAATTGAAACTTTGTAGTCTTGAGTGGAAGCTAGTCAGGCAAGGGCAGGAGGAAAGCTTGGCTTTCCTTGTTGCCTGGGAAACCCAAGCCTCCCTTCTGCTCTCTGGCCGGTAGCCATCTTGGTTGAGTTTATTTGCATACCTACTCTGATTGGCTGGTGAGTGTGGCTTGTAATGGAGTGATGGTTAATTTGCATATTACTCTTAGGTAGGATATACACACACATATACACAGGTCTGGTGCATCAAAAAAAAATATATATATATACACACACACACACACACACACACACACACACACACCTCTCTCTCTCCAGATTATTATGTGTTAAGAGATCATAATCTGGCCACTAAGTGTAATTGAAAAGATGATTTAAGAAATACATGATGTAAAGGATATATTAGAGACCTTGAAGCCATTCTGAATTTTTCTATTTATAGACTAGAGGCC